TGAGATCAAAGGTGGGGGGCATATTGGGAGCTACTTCAGGTGACCTGGTCACGGAGGAGTAAGCAGAAGTGGACAGTGCCCACTCTTGCAGTGTGACCTCAAACAATTTATTTGAACCCCGAGCCTCAATTTCCTTAGTTATACTTTGGGGACAATATATCTTCCCTCTCAGGGGTTGTGAGGCTCCCGGTGACAGCGTGTTCCAGGCTGTGATGGTGGGCAGTGCCCGGCCTGAGGAAACGCTCAGCAGCTGGTACTGTGAGGAGCAGGCACTCTGTGTCTGGGCCCTGAGGCAGGAGCCCTCCTGCCCCCACCTCCTCTGCCCTTTGCTCCTTCCCTCTGCCCACACCTCGCACACTAATCTCTGGGCCGTAGTGCTGGATGCGAGTCCTCCACCCCCGAAGGCTCCCTCTTGGCTGGGATCTCTCTGCTGACCCCACAGTCCAGGGTGGGTCCCACGGACACACCAGGCCAGGAGACCCACCCTTCCCCTCTTCCCCCCAACTCATCACAGCCCTTGGAGGGAGGCAACCTGCGTTTTCTGACTCCAAGTCCTGTGCTCCTCCCTACACAGCACGTGGCTATGTGACCAGGGGCAGGGTTCCGATGTCGTGAGTGCTCCCAGCCCCTCCCCCATCTGCTAAGAGAACTTGCCCATCAGCTCCTCACCCAGGGGAGATTTTTGGATGGTTAGTTAGGTTATTGTGGGGAGAGCTGAATGCAGAAGGACATGACTGGACAAGGCAGAAAGAGAGGAAGAAAGAGAAAGCAGAGCCTCATGGAGTAGGATTTGGGGTGGGAATGGGGTAGAGCTTAGAAGGTGAGCCACTGGCCTCAGAGCACCTGTGTGGACGCTGGACCTGGGGTTGTGAATCTGGTTCCTTGTTAATGTTCTTTAGAAAACACAAATCAAGAAAACTGCCTTATAATTATGCTTGGTGGCCAGACTGTGTTTCCCTCCATGGGACACACGGGCACCCTGGGCCAGGTAAGCCCGGCTTTATCCGTGTTACACCCAGGCATGTCCCTCTGCCTCAGCAGAGGTTTGGCATGAGAGATTTCTGCCCGAGTCCCCGTCTCCCTCAGCCACAGCCACTGTGACCCACCGGCTAAGCTCTTCTCCTTCCTGCCACCACGTCTCTGAGGGGAACAGGTGGCTCTTCAGTCGTCAAGCTCTAACGGCTCTTCTTGCTGCCTACACAGCCCCATTCCCGGGAGTCGCTGGCCTAACCTGGCACCCCTCACCTGCACCGAATTTTCTCGACGGTTGCTGGCTACATCCCCAGGGTTGTCTTTGGCCAAGGCAGTCAGGATATAGTGGTCCTTCTTCTCCCGGTCCAGGGAGGACAGCACATAGATGTCGCCCTAGGAGGAGGGGTGGAATCAGGGTTTTTTTGCAGGTATTTACTGAGCATCGACAGTGTGCAGGACCTGCTGTGGGCCCTGGAGATACGGCGCTGAGCAGAAGAGACAGCAGCCCCTGCTCCAATGGAGCTCTCATTCTAGCCCTCACTTCCCCATCCACCTGGAGAGGGACAACAGCCCAGGCTGGAGCGCACTACCTGGCCAGGTACATGGTCGTGCGCCATAGATATTCACTGTTCACAGTGCCAGGCCAGGAGCGTGCCTGACTGCTCACACCAACCAGGAAGAACAGCACCCTGCTGAGAGGGCAGAATGAGGGGATGTGGGCAGGAGTGGGGGCAGTGGGAGGGGAAGTCCAGGTCCAGCCCAGCAACTGGGGAGGGCCCTGCTGACCAAACACCCCTCGGCCACAGGGCTCTTTCTGTGCTGAAATAGCAGCCCATTTGCAGACATCTGAAACCATCACCCCTCCTTTCTCTTGAGTTTCTGCTCTCCCGCAGTCAGACTGTGGGAGCGTGGGGGAGGTACTGGGAACAGGGCCACATATACACCAGTAGGAGGCGCTCAAACACCGCGCTCACTGTCTGCAGGGCTGCCTATGCTTCTCTTTGGACAGTTTCAAAAAGTGGTCACTCGGACTTGAATGAAGTTTGCTGGTTGGCTGGGGACACAGAGCAGAAGTTTTTGTCCCACAAAGGGCTAGTTCCCGAAGATTTTGGGCACTTCCTCCACGCCTGCTGGGACAGAAAGGCCTCAGTCTACAGGATGTCTGGGACTCTGAGAACAGGGCTGACTGAGCTAAAAACCTCGGAGGTTACAGATCTCCAGGCGGCTGGACCCAGACACGGGGGGAAACCGCAATACTTTTGTGGCTTCTCAGCCTGTGACCCTGGGCCCATTGCACTCCCCACTCCCAAACCCCGCCCCCCATTGCCCGCTTACCGTGGTGGGGTTGATGGCAAACTTGCCCTCTCCATCCACAAGGCTGTACTCAATGACGGCAAAGTTGCCCGAGTCGGCATCAGAAGCAGTGACCGTCAGGATGACTGTGCCCACGGGCACATCCTCATAGACGGCTTCCTGGAGCCCGATGGGCAGGGGGAGAGAGCAGCCAACGTTAGTCCTCCGGTCCATGCCCTGCGCTAGGAACGCACTGATAGAGACAACCCAGGGCATCAAGCTGCTGATGGGGTGGTCACTACCGTGAGGCTGAGAGGCTGGTCGGGTGGTAGCGAAAGATGACCAAAGGCCCCAAGGCATGGGCACAGGTCCGAGACCCACCAGGCCTGGCCACCCACCTGGTAGGAAGGCTCGTCAAATATGGGGTTGTTGTCGTTGATGTCCACAATCTCCAGGTAGACGGGGATCTCGGCCGCCCGGGGCGGGGACCCATTGTCTGAAGCCCTCACCGTGAAGTTGAGCCAGTGCACTTCCTCATAGTCCACCGTCCGGTTGGCAATGACCTTCCCTAAGACACAGAGGCACCCCCAGCGCCATTTTGGCCATTCCTCACTTAGAAAGCTCTCCACAGTATGAAGAGAAGGATCTAGAGCTCTGAGGGGCAGGTGTGGTCCCTTGAAGAAGGAGGATGGTCAGTCAGCCCTGCCCAGTGGCAGGTCAGAGGGCTGAGAGCAACTGGCATCAGCTGTTCTCTTTCCTGGAGGGGCGGGAAAGCTTTTCACATGTCAAACCGATGAACATCAACATGCCCAGGGCCTCCTCTGAGAGCCTCCCTCTTGCCCTTCTTCCTAAGTGACGCTAACATAGTCATCCCTCCACAACCTCGGGTTTCAATCCGCTGTTGGCAGAATCTGTGGATATGAAACTGTGGATATGGATGGAAGGCTGACTGTGGGGCTTGAGCATCCATAAATTTTGGCACCCCTGGGGAAGGCCTGGAACCAGTGCCCCTTTGATACCAAGGGACAGCTGTAGTGGAAAGCCTGGGTGGTAGAGAGAGATGGTGGTGGAATATTCCAGGATTCCAGCAGACCTTAAAGGGGCCTTCCATCCCAACCTAGGACCAAGCATTTTGTCCCTTCCTCTAGTTTGGGCATCTGGCAGGAACATTGGCCATGTTGGCTCTGGCCCAGCCCATTGAGGGGCCACGATGGGGCCACAACTGGAGGGTGAGAAGTGGGCCATGGTCCCTCTGGGAGAGTAACAGGCACACCCCTTACCCCCTGCCGCCCCCAGCCCTACCTGCCGAGGAGTCTTCCAGCTGAACGTAGCCTGGGGGCATCAGGTCCAGCAGGCTGTAGGTGATCAGCCCATTGAGGCCCTTGTCGGGGTCCACGGCTGATACAGCGATGAGCGTGGTGCCCGGGGTGGCCCCCTCCAGGACCTTCTCTGTGTAGTAGGTGATCCCAAAGGGCTTGAACCGGGGCGTGTTGTCATTGACATCCAGGATGTTGACTGTCAGCTTGGCTGGGTGAAGGCAGGGGGTGAGGGTGCCGTGAGGGACACCGATGTGGCTGGGCCTTCCTGAGCCTCAGCTATGCCTGGGAGCCCTGTAGCCTGACCCACGCTGGAGTGGTGGGTCGTGACCCTTGGCCCTGGTCTGGTCTCATTCTTCCATAAGGAAAGGAGCTTGAGTTCTACCACCCGCTGAGTCACCTTGGTGGAGCCCCCGGCCTACTGTGCCTTAGTGTCCTAACCTGTCCCATGAGGCCCTTCCATGATTCAGCCTTCTGCTTCCTGAGTCATGACCGCTCTAGGACCAGCCCTTTGTCCTCTGAGTGTGGGTCATGTAGGTGAGCACGTCTGCCCTTCCTTCCTGAAAACTTGGCCTCTGGGCAATAAAGATAAGCAGACATGCAGACGTGCCTCTAGCAGCCCCTTCCAGCTCATGCCTCAGGCGGCAGGCAAGATGGCCTGTGCCGGCCTGCAGAAGGCAGCAACTGTTCCCCTCTCTTATCTGCCATAGTGGCCGTGCACCCCAATATGGTATCTGTGGCTTCCATCACCTTCCCTTGTGCTTTCCTTCCTAGGACCCTGTGGCTTCCTATCAGATCTGGGGTTCCTGTCTTACTTCCTCGTTACCAGTTCTGATAACAGATTCCGACCTAAGTCTCTAACCATCCTTTTCTCAGTTCCCGTCCAGCCTCCACCAAGCCTCCTTCTCACTCTGAGCCCTGGGTTTCATGAATCCCCCAGTTCTTGGCTTCTGGATCCCCTACTGCTGAGCTCTGCCTAACAACAGGGACACACGGCCATCCTGGGCCTCACTGTAGCTGCCACCTTTCACATCCCTCTGGGTCCTGCTGCTTCCTTCCTGGGGCCGAGCCTTTGCTGTTCCCAGCCTGCCCCTCCTGCCCAGATCAGCTCCGAATAACCAATGGGAGGTGCCTGTGGGGAACCTTACCATTTGGCACGCTGACAGCACGCTCTGGTAGGTCGCTGGCATTGTCAATCACCGAGAGAGTGACCTCATAGGTAGCAACGAATTCCCGGTTCAGGGGAGACTTCACCAAAACAGACCCTGTAGACCAGATCAGGTCAGGTTCAGCCCGAGGGGAACCCCCTAAAATCTGTGCCTCCTAGGGGGTACTCCTGGCCAACCCACTCAATCCCCACCAAGGGCAATGGTCCCCAATGGACCTTGTTCTTGCTGATCTCATCTTTGGCTGGGATGAGGCGACAGCCACCTGCAAGTCAGGGCACATCACTCATTGCTTTCTAGATGGCGAACTTGGGCAAACTATTGAACCTCTCTGCACCTGTTTCCTCATTTGTAAAATCAGGATAATTACACTGCCTACCATATTTGGATGGTTATAACAATGAAAGGAGTAAAAAGGCTTAGAACAGTGCCTGGCACACAGAGAATGACATGTAATTGCTTGTTTAAAAATGCTTTGTATTCCACAACAATGTGAGTATACTGAACACTGCTATACATTTAAAGATAGTTAAGATGGTGAATTTTGTTACGTGTATTTTATCTCTATTTAAAGAATGCTTGTTTTCTACAGAGATCAAGTATAATGAAAGTGCAAGGCAGCTAAACTGCTGAGGGGGTGCTCTGGCGGGGACGGCAATGGGACAGCCTGGACCGTCAGGACTACTCCTTTGCCTCCATTAAGTAGGGGGTGACTTGGACCCATGGTGGAAAGGAGCACAGCCCTATGTTAGAACCAGCAAGGAGTTTTCTTTTCACCTTCCCACGGCCGCTCAGAGCCCCTGCCCACTCCCAACCACGGGACAGATCTAGCTGAGCTGATGCAGGGGCTGCTCTACTGGGCCCTCTCTGCTCCCTGCCTGTTGGAGGATCTGGTGCTCCTCCTCCCATCCGCCTCATCCAGGGTGGAACCTCCTCTCTCCCTTTCCAGCTCCCTCTCAGGCCCTGAGGTCTCTGGGCTGCCCTTCCCCCTTGGCAGGTCCCCCTGCTGGGCTTCTGTCCTCCTCGGTTTCCAGCCAAGGGGCGGTCACTTACCCTGGGCCGCTGCCTCCTCCTCCTCCTCTTCCTACTCTCGCTCCCCGTCCCGAGGCTGGGGAGCGAGGATGGGGAGAGGATGGCTGCATTCAGTCTGCAAAGGCTGGGCCACCTTGGCCTGGCCCCACAGGATGGGAAGGGTGGTGGGGGGAGCGGTGGGTATGGAGGAAGGCAATGGGGTGAAGCAGAGAAGAGATGAGGTGGGAAGTGACAGAGAAACAGCTCAAACCTGTGGGCCTGCCAGCCGTGAGGAAGAGAGAAGAAGGTTAACATCAGTTAGTTCAGGTGCAGAGGGGATGGAGCGGAGCAGGGCATGGGGGGCGATGGGGCTCAGAGCTGACCAGGGTGGGAAGGTTGGGAGGGAGGCTGTGAGGGAGGTTGAGGCAGAGAGGAAGGGAGCCAGGGAAGGAAGAGGGAGCCCATTTGGTAGGAGAGGAAGGGGGAAGGAAGGTGAGCAAGGCAGGTGGGGAGAGCATGAGGAAGAGGGGCAGAGAAGACACTGGAAAGAAAAATAGAGAGAAGAGAGTCAGTCAGAGGGAAGGAGGACAGGAGAGAGGAAAGCGGTAGAGGCATCAGTACTGTATGTACAGCGTGAAGTTGGGCAGGGGTATGGAGCAGCTGTCCATGGTCCTGAACAGCCACTGCAAGGTGGAGCGGTGGGGTCTGCTAGCTGGGACATGGCTTAACCTCTGTGACTTCTCCTAGTGCTCTTGGTTTTCCTCACTTCTTCCTTCCTCTAGGCCTCTGGTGCAGACGGAGCTATTCGTACTCCGGCTCATTGCACACTTTCGTCATTGGCCCTGCTCTTGTTTTATGCATGTGTCTATTCCCTTTTATTTCAATACTCCTTACCTCTTCCTTTCTCCTCTAGGGCAATCATTGTAATGTATTCAAAATCATGTGGGTTTATTTATTTATTTTTTTGCGTATGTGTCTCTCTCTCTCTGTGTCTTATATTTATGCAAATAGGATTGTGGTGTATATATATCCCGCCCTATTTCTTACTCTTCTCAGTAAGTACTTATTTTGAAGGTTCACCCACGTTGCTCTGTGTGAGTCTAGTCTGTTGCTTCTGACCGATGCCGTGTGCACCCACAATGTTTCAGTCTCCAATCTCCCAAGCACGGGTGCCCATGTGGCCTCCAACCTTGCAGTGAACATCCTCAGAGAGTCCCATTGACCTGGGAGTTTCCCTGAGAAGTTTACCTGGAGCAGAATTGCTGGGCCATAGGGTGTGAGTTAAATTGTGTTCAATTGCTATCTAGTTGGTGGAATGGGTCTAAGTTCCTATAATAGTGTTTGTGGGATCAGATGTGCCCACATAATCACCAATACTCAATATTGTCCAGCATCTAATATCTGCTAATCACATTTGGAAACTGATATCTCATTGCTGTTTTACTATGCATATCTCTAAGCAACAACATTTTTTAGCATTTAGTGTTAGTCATGTCAGTTTTACTGTCACTCCCTGGGCCTTTTAGGAAGTACATGTGGCAGGTCCCATGTTCCTCTTTAACTCCTAGAGGAGCAAAAAAACTGAACTGGGAAAAATGGTAAAACCATCAAAATTATAATGAACTTCAGAAATCATAAAAGATAGGCCACATTTCTCTTTGTTTTGTGATGGTCTAAGAAAGTCATTAAAGATATACATATATGTGTATATATACATATATGTGTATGCAAATATATATGATTGAAATGGCTAATATACATATAAAGAAACTATTCAACTAACCAGTTATTAAAGAAATGCAAGGTACAATTTTCCTAGAAAATTACAAACCTAAACACTTTGTAATATTTAACGCTGGCAAGAGGTGGTGAGAGGGGCACTCTCATACAACACTGATGGGAACTGGTCAAGGGAGAAGGAAGAAGAGAGAGGAGAGAGGGAAGGGAAAAAGGGAAAGACAGAAAAGAGAGGGAAGGATGTGCTGTCAATAGGGAGAGTAGACAGAGGAGCAGCTGAGGGAAAGGGGGGGGGCAGAGAGAGGGAAGGAGAGAGACAGAGAGAGAGAGAGAGAGAGAGAAACCAAAGAGGAGAGTGGGGAAGAAAGCAGAGAGCAGAGACTGGGGCAGGGAGTCCGGAGCAGGGGTGAATGGGGAGCAGGCCCTTGTACCTGTGTTGATATTCACAGCAAAGGCGTCCTCCTGGTCAGGCACCAGGCGGTCTGTGTCGTCCTTGGCCACGATGCTGACGATGTGGTACTCCAGCTTTGGGTTGAGGTCACGGTCGATGGCGGTGACATTGGCAATGACGGTGCCGGGCTCGGCGGACTCCAGCACGGTCACGGTGTGGATGGGGTTGATGAACTCGGGGCGGCAGTCGTTAATGTCATCGATAAGGATGGTGATGATGGCCGTGCCAGAGAGGGGCACGGTGCCCCGGTCGGAGGCCACCACGGTCAGCCTGTAGGACTCCTGCTCCTCCCTGTCAATGGTGACGTTGCCCACGCGGATGACCCCCGTGACCGGGTGGATGAGGAAGCGGTCCTGAGCCCCCGCTTCTATCCGGTAGACCAGCTCCCCGTTGAGGCCACTGTCCTCATCTGTGGCTGTGACCTGAAGGACTGAGAATCCTGGGGGGAAAGTGGGGAGGAGCTGAGCACACTGGCTTCTCCTAAAGCATCGCAATAACATGCATTTGTTGGCAGTTCACAGGGGACCCTCTCACCACAGCCTGGCAGCATGTATCTTTTATAGACTTTCCATGTTTGCGATTTCGTAGGAAAACAGTACCTTCTTTCATTTTACATTCTTTGATTGTTTGTGAGCTTGGACATTTTTAATAATTTAATGATCAGTTGTATCTTCTGCAAATTGTATGTTTTTGTCTTCTGCCTATTTTTCTATCAATTTATACAATTATGTAATTGTGATAACTTGTGACAAATACCTTTTTTCAGTCTGTTGTTTGCCTTTCCAGCATTGGTTATAATTATTTGAAGTAAAGAAGTGTAAATGTATAAACACCAAAATTTAGTATTTTTCCCTTTTTAAGTTCTGTTTCTTATATGCTTAGAACGTTCCTATCCTGAAGTCAGATAAATATTCACCTAAAGCTTTTCTTTTACTTTTTATTGTGGTCTACTTTTGAATTTTTTTCTTTAGAATGTCTTTGGACTTCACTTTGGTGCCTTATATTGGGTAGGAATCTACACTAAACGTTAATAGCTGTTTTGCACACTAATCAGTTTTCACTAATGTTTCATTGTTATCACATTAATATTACATTCTTCAATTTACTGGTATCTGTTTCAGGGCTACTTTTCCCCAGATCGTTTAGCCCATATCATATGGTTTTAAATACTGCAGTTCTATAATATGCTTTAATATCAGGGAAGGCAAATCTGGTTTTATTATACTTTTTTCCCCCCAAAATGTTCTCATTCTTCCAGATGACTTTCAGAATAAAATCTACCCTCAAGAGCTTATTTGACTTTGATGGGCATCTCATTAATTCTATTTTGACTTTAAAATAGTCTTTTCAACCAGGAACATTTCTTAATAATAATCTCATTTTGCAGACCAGACACTGTGGGTCAGACACAGGAAGCGAGGGGGAACGCCTGGATCTCCCACTCCCTCTCCAGGGCTCTCTCCACCCACCCTGCTGCCTGTGCTCCTCCCGCTGGGGGTGGATTCTGCTCCAACCTCTGAGGCTCCAATCCCCACGGACCACCCACCAGCTCCTGCCTGGGCCAGCCTGCTCCCTGCACCCTGCTCACCTGGGGGGCAGTTCTCCAGCAGGTGGATGGTGAGGGCGGCAGGGCTAAAGGTGGGCCAGTTGTCATTGTCATCCAGGATGGTGACGATCAGGTCAGCTGTGCCGTTGAGCAGCCCAATGTCCTCAGCCAGCAGCAGCAGCTCCAAGACGGGAGGTGAGAAGGCCTCCCGGTCAATGACCACACCCGACCTCACTGTCACCACGCCTGTCGCCCAGGGCCACCAGCCAGGGAGACGCAGAGGAAAGGGGTGCAGGGGGAAAGAGGGCAAGAGCCAGCCAGGGGGGTCGTGGGAAGACCAGCACAATGTGGGAAGAGAGAAAAGAGGAGCAGAGAAAGCAACCAATGACTTTCTTCCCCAAAGGCTCAACGACCAAAGCTTAGGGAGGTCCCCTCGGTGCCAATCTCCCGGGATTGTCCCCGCCCCAGGTGCCCTCGGCAGGTCTCAGAGTCCTGCCTGAGATGGGTGACCCGAGGTGAGGGATTGACCTGCTCGGCTGAGAGAGGCGCTAGTATGTCCCTCCTTGGTGCCACCTTCCCCCAACGGGTCTACTGTCTAGGACCAGACTGATGTGACGTGGTCTCTGGGGGTCACCTTTGGGGGTGCTTTGGGGATAGAGCTTTGGCTGCTTCTGGCTGACTAGGGGCCCGCCTCTGGCTGGGCACAGGGAGATGGAGGAGTGGGTTGGGGGCTCTCTGTCTAGGCTGCGTTTATGTATTAGCAGGTCCCTTGTGTTGTCCCCAGGCCTCTTCCGGGGTCATCTCACCTGGCCCCAGGTGCCCTAACCCAGCTCGGCAGGGGCGGCCCTAGACCCAGCCCCGGCCCCGGCCCCCTCCTGCCCCAGCTGGGAGCGGTGGGCAGGCGGGAGTGCTGGGTGTGAGAGGCCTCACCTGTGCTGTTGTCGATGTCAAAGAGGCCGCTCTGGGCACCCAGCAGCTGGTAGGTCACCACGGCATAGACGTCCAGGTCCGCATCCAGGGCCAGGATGGGCCCGTTGAGCACCGTGAGGGGGGTCCCTGGACCAGGGAGAGAGGGGTCACTGCAGGGCCAACCCGGCCCCCCGCCCCCGCCCCCGCCCCTTCCCGGTGAGCCATGGCTGACAATGGATGAGAGGGAGGTGAGGTGGACGGGGTGGGGAGGCCCTGGGCCGGCTGCGGCAGCCTTGGCAGACTGACGCAGATGCCGGGGAGCGGCCTCAAAGCCCTGCTGGGGAGAAAACACAACAATGGTGAGCAAGCCCCTCAGGGCCCCCACGGAGCACGCCTGCCTTCCCAGCAGCCTTTGAGGCTGGCTACTCTGAGGGAGGGTCTGGGGGTTCCCTGACATCCTCTCCCTGTACCTGGGCCCTATCGAGGTATGCATACCCCTCCCAGTCTCTCCACGTGTGTCCACAATGCTTTATACAGGTGTCTGACCACATGACTGGAAATGCATGTGTGTGTGCAGGGCTCTGTTCACATGGCCACGGGGCACTCGCAGGCCTGGGCGCCCTGGCTGTGTGCCTGCCTGCCTCGGGGGGTGGGCACATTCGCACACGGAGTGCACTGTATAGGCACCCACATGCCTATGTGTGTCTGTGCATGTGTGTAAGCCCACATATATGCTTGACGTGAACATGTATTAGCACATGTAGAAGCATATTCACAGGCAGGGCTAAGAAACAAGTTCACGTAGGGGGGCACCCAGCCAGAGACAAGGAGCTTCTCAGTTCATCTTTTTCTGACTTGGAACCCGAGCTTGGGGGCTGGGGGAAGAGGGAGAGGACCTCCTGGGGGACAAGAAAAAGGAGATTCTGTCGCTCTGAAGGGAGGGGAGACTGCTCCGTGCCTGTGTGTGGGGAAGAGCTCTGCTGGCCTACACAGGCCCTGATTACAGATGCTCCTGAAGCTTCCAGAAGCCTCCAGGATGCTTGGGGCTCCTGGGTGGAGGGGGCAGGGAGGGTGGGCTTGCTCCCATCCTGGGTGGTCCTCACGCCTCACTGTCCCTCTTGAGGAGCATTGGGGCTGCTCTCAGACCACTTTGAGGACCAATGATCACTTCCAACTACACCTGTGGCCTCTTTGGTGGCCCCTGAGAGAACCGGCAGCCCAGGCCCACCAGCCCCTTGGAGCTGCTTCCCTCCCTCCCTCCTGTGCACACCTTCTGGCACCCGCCGGCTCTGTGGTGAGGCTGCCACCCCAGGCAGGCCTCAGGTGGGCCCACCTCTGGTAGGAGGTGGATCCACAGGCCTCTGGGACCAGGTGGTGCCTGGCAGCAGCAGGAGTTCCCGGGTGGGCCCAGCACCTACCAGCAGGAGAGTTCTCCATCACCTCTGCCTGGTAGGTGCTCTCCGTGAAGATGGGGTGGTTATCATTCTCGTCCGCAAGGAAGATCAGCAGCAAGTCAAAATCCTGTGGGAGGCGTTATGGGGGGCGGGCTGTAGGCACGTCCTAGCAATGTGCTCTGAAGGCTGAGAGATGTGGGGTCAGGGCACAGGGTGGGGAATAAAAAAGCCCATATTGGGGGTCTAGAGACCTGGGTTCAAGTCCCTGCTGTGCTAGCAGCTCTTTGCACGGCCTTAAGGAAATCATTTCCCCTCGCTGGGCCTCAGTTTTCCAATCTGGCAAATGGGATCTTAACTCCTTCACAGAGGTGCTGTGACGTTCATAGCAGGAGGGGTGAGCATGGCATTTAATCAGGTCCATCTCATGGCAAGAAAGACTGCAGGCAGGAAGATGAGTGGTGGCTTTCAGACCTTCTAGGCCAGCCTGATGCCCTATCAGAGTTCACCCAAACTCGCACCAGGGCTGCACTTCACATTTTTAAAAAACCAGTCATAGTTCTGATCTCTCAGAACCTCCACTGTGGAGGCAAGAAAACCGAGGCCCAGACCTGACTGGTTTGGCTCAGTGGACAGAGCGTTGGCCTGCGGACCAAAGGGTCCCGGGTTCAATTCCAGTCAAGGGCATGTACCTGGGTTGTGGGCACATCCCCAGTAGGGGGTGTGCAGGAGGCAGCTGATCGATGTTTCTCACTCATCGATGTTTCTAACTCTCTATCCCTCTCCCTTCCTCTCTGTAAAAAATCAATAAAATATATTTTTTAAAAAAGAGAGATGATATCTGTAGGGACTGTGGGATAGAGTGGATGTATTTTTAAAAAAAAAGAAAACCGAGGCCCAGAGGTGACTGCTGAACTGCACGGCAATTAGCAGCAGGGTGGGGACCAGCCCCCAAGCCTCCTGACTCCCACCACTCAATGCTGCTGCTTCCCAGCGTGGCCCAGGCCCTCCACAGCGCAGGCAGAGGTGGGGAATGAGAGCAGAAGAAGAAAGAAGGGGAGAGGAAGTGGGAGGAGAGAGAGGAGCACAGAAAGAGAGAGGCCAGTGACTTACAAGTCTCCTCGGCCTATACAGATGGGGAAACTGAGGCCCAGAAAGGGTCGTGTCTTGGCTGAACCATGCAACTAGTCAGAAGCAGAGCTGGGCTAAGCCAGACCCAATGCCTCTTGGTCAAGGTCGTGCCCCAGACCTCATGGCTGAACCTTCCCCCAAAGGACTGTTTGCTTGCAACATCCACCTCCTCTTAGTACAGAGAAACCATTTCTTTGGCTTTTGAGGGAAAAGCCACCCTTTCAGCGGAAATGCAATCTTGCCAGCACCCCAGAGCTGTGTCTGTGAGTGCACGCAGGCCACATGCACACACAATGGTGGTGTGTGCCCAAGTGTCAGTGGTTTGAGGGGAGATGATGGCTGAGTTCCCTGAGCACTTTGCAGATACTGGCTCCTTTGAGTCCTCTCCACAACCTTGGGGACATCATTTTGCAGAAGAAAAAGAGAAACTGCCTGGCCAAAGTCACACGCCCGCTGACCGGCAGGCCTGGAATTTGAACCCAGCACTTGCTCACTCCAAGGCCTGTGCATCCAGCCCCCTGGCCAGGTCGCCTGTGCGTCTCAGGCGCCCGGCTGCTCCCCCCGCCTCACCATGCCCTCCAGCCTCACCCTCCTGGCTATGCGCGGGTTCTCCGGGTTGTCCTTCACGGAAATGGTGAGCTTGTACTCTGGGATCCGCTCGCGGTCCAGGGGCCGGTTCACGGTGACGATCCCTGACTGGGAAGGGGAGGGCTGGTAAGCTCAGTAGCGACCTGTTCCCCACTTTGAGCACTGGCCACAGATGCCCAACTGCTCTGCCTGCACTTCAAGTGCCTGTGAATTCCCTCCCTAAGTCACCGCAGACATGGTCTCTAAGAGCGACCCCCAGCGCCCAGGTACTGCTGTCTCAAGGGGATGGGCCTCTGGGGACCCTGTGATGCCAGGAGCTGGTAACACTCCAAGGTGTCAAATGAGCCAAGTGGTACTGAGGCTCTGGCTCCATATCTGCACATGCTAAGCCTTGGGGGTGACGGGGACCCCAGAGATGGCTCAGCTGGGAATCTCAGGTTCCACGCTTCCCACCGAGACTCTTGAGTCCTAGTGGAGGAAGGAGGCTTGAGGAGGAAACGGAACCAGAAGGAGACCAGACAGAGGTGTAGGAAAGCCTCTAGGGCAGGGTCCCCCTTTTTAGGAAAAACCCTGGGGAACATCCTGGGTCAGTTCCGGCCCTACCGTGGCATTGATGGCGAAGGCCCGCTCCCGGTTGCCTGCAGTGATGTTAAAGGTGAGGAGGGCATTGCACCCACTGTCAGCGTCGCTGGCCAGGATGTGGGCGACGAAGCTGGAGACGGGGCTGTTCTCACTGATGGTCACGTTCATGGGGAGGTTGAGCAGCACAGGGTCGTTGTCATTGATGTCCAGCACCCGAATCCCCACCAGCATCTGGGGCGCGTCAGGGGAGGAGGAGAGGAAGAAGAGGTGACGGACAGCAGAAGCGGGGGTGTGAGGGGACAGAGAGGAGAGAGAGGGAGGAAGAGGGGTGGTGGACATGGTAGCCGAGGAGCAGGCGAGGAGTGAGGCAGGGCAGGAGAGCGAAGGGGTGGTGAGGGAGGAAGGAAGGTGCAGTTGAGGACCATGGAGAAGACAGAGGAGGAGGAGGAAGAAAATGATAATGAACAAGGCAAGGAGATGAAAACGAGGATAAGAGGGAAGCAGAAAAGGCAGAGGCAGAGGTGAGCTGAATGGCAGTGGCAGAGGCCCACTCACAAGGTGGCCTCCCCAGAGAGCTGCTGTGGGGAGACATCTTGCATTGGCCATGGCTGCCAGGCCCAGGTCCAGCCTCCCTGGGCGAGCCCCAAGATCCACTCACAAGTCTGCTAGGGTCCCTGAGATCCACTCACGAGCTCTCTGGGCTTGGAGACAGGAGTCTCCATGGAGAGTTCAGGGGGCAGCAAGGTAAAGCCAGTAGAATGGGGGCCCCAGACTCACCGTGGAACTGAGTGGGGGCACCCCCCTGTCTCGAGCACAGATGGTCAGGTTATAGAAGGCAATGGTTTCCCGGTCCAGCTCCACATCCTTCCGGACCCGCAGCACACCCTCCACAGGAGAGATCAAAAACTCCCCTGGGTGCCACCCAGGAGAGGCCAGAGTGAGCCGGGATTGGTCAAGGGTGGCAGAGAGCCCAGGCCTGTCTGCTTCCTCTAGCAATGCCCCAGCTTCAGCTCCTCCTGGGACCTGCCGAGGTCTGGCAAGTTCAGGAGGGAGGGGGACAGGTAACTGCTGGTGCAGGTGGGTCTGGGCCCGCTCAGGCCCTGATGTGCCTGAGAGGCCAGGCCAGTTCCTTCCTGGCTCATGGGCAGGCCAGGGACTAACTGTGGATAAGATGGTCACATTGAACAAGTGGGCGTCAGTAGGGCTGCAGGATACACAATCAATAGACAAAAAGCTGTTGTGTTTCTATATACTAGTGATGAGCTATCAAAAAGAGAAATTAAGAAAATAATCACATTTATAATTGCATCAAAAGAATAAAATTACCTACAAGTAAATTTAACCAAGGAGGTGAAAGACCTATACTTGAAAACTATAAGACTTAATGAAAGAAATGGAAGATATAAATAATTGAAAAATATCCTGTGTTCCTGGATGAGAAGTATTAATATTGTTAAAACATTCATACTACCCAAAGCAACCTACAGATTCAATGCAATCCCTATAAAAGTTCCAATGGCATTTTCTACAGATATAGTATAGACAACACTAAAATTTGTATGGAATCCCAAAAGTAATTCTGAGAAAGAACAAAGCTGGAGGCATCATGTTCCCTGATTTCGAACTATATTACAAAGCTATAGTAATCAGAACAGTATGGTTTGGGCATAAAAACAGACATAGATCACGGAACTGAACAGAGAGCCCAGAAATAAACTCACACAGGCATGGCCAATTAATTTATGACAAAGGAATGAGAATATATAATGAAGGAAGAACAATCAATGGTGCTGGGAAAACAGGACAGCCACCTGCACAAGAATGAAATGAAACCACTAGGTTGCACCTTACACGAAAATTAACCCAAAATGGATTAAAGGCTTGAATGTAAGACCTGATACCATAAAACTCCTCGAAGAAAACATAGACAATAAGCTCCCTGACATTGGTCTTGACAAGGAATTTTTGGATTTGACACCAAAAGCAAGAATAAACCAGTGGGACCACATCAAACTAAAAAGCTTCTGCACAGCAAAGGAAGCCATCACAATGGAAAGGGAACCTACTGGATTAGAGAAAAATCTTTGCAAATCATATATGTGGTAAGGGGTTAATACCCAAAATACATCAAGAACTTATTCAACACAAGCACAAACAACAACAAAAACAACACAGAAAATGAAATGGGAATCCGGAGAAAGGTGATGACTTATCTAAGCTCTCCCAGCAAGTTAACAACAGACCAGGATTCCAACCCAGGGCTCTGGGTCTCAGCTCACTGCATCCCATGGGACTTGGAGTCTTTCCAGACAGTCAGTGCTGAGCCAGGTGGGAGGTGGGGGAGGGAGGGTGAGAGCAGGGAGTGGGTACAGGAATAGAGCAGAGGGGCAGGTGGGAGCCCAGCTGAATAGACGAAAGGGGAGGAACAGTGAGTCCGGGAGGTGGGGAGAGCGTGAGGAAGAGGGGTTATCTGTGTGAACCCCTCCAGAACCGGGGACAGGGAGGGTTACTTCCTTCACTTTCCCTTTGGTACCTGGGCAGAGTGGGGCACTCACTGCTCAGGGACACGCAGCACAGGAGGGCACAGCAAGGACAGAGGCCCAGGCTCTCCCACAATGTCCCCTGCCTGCCCCTTCTCATCTCCCTCTCTATTCCCTGCCCCCAGCTCCCAGTGCTCTGATGTAAAAAACAGCCTCTTCAAGGCTCACCTGCAGCTGGGATTTCCCGCCAGCTCTTCTGCTCCCAGCAGCCTTTTAGACTGCGTGCAGCGGGATTTCCTGAGCCCGATACTCCACGGCCTCCAAGAACTGAGGATCCCCTTCTAGGGGTTTCCGGGCCCTGTCTCAGCCCCTGCCCATGTGCAAGCAGATGGCCCCCTGCCCTCTCTCCAAAGCCAGCCACCCCTTGAAAGAAGGGAAGGAAGAGGTTCTGCAGGCCCAGGGGGGCAGGCCTGAGGCGCTGGGAGCGGGGCCCAGGCTAGGTTCCTAATAAGTCAGCTCACTGCGGGAAGTAAACAGGCTAAAGGCCCCTGGACCTTAAATCATCCTCCTTATCCCCGGGGCCTGAACTCCCTGCCGCTCCACTCCTTCCGGAGTTGGAGGTTAAAAGCAAAGACTCGCCACCTAGTCATACACAGAGCTGCATCCTGATTTCACTCCTTTGTGCTCTGGGTTATGTTACCGAGCCCTGCCTTGATGTTCTCATCTGAGAAATGGGCTAATGAAGAGGTGCCACCACAGGTTGTTCTGGTGCTGGACAAGTCTGTTCCACATGTGTGCTAGATCCACGGCAGCCCCTGGGTACCACTAGGGGCGTTCTGAAAGGCAGCCGAGGCATCCTGCTCAAGGAACTGGGTGCTTTGGCGGAGGATGAAGATGTAAGAAAGGGGTCCCAGGAGTGGGTCTGACCAGAAGGGTTAGCTGAGAAGGTTGGGGTTGGCAAGAGAGGCTCAAGTAGGTGTGGCCTATTCCCCAGCTGTTTTCCTCCTCATGCCTCAGGGGGGCTTGCACCAGCGTGTCATCCCCGATGTCTGTGGCCCCACTGACAGGAGCACCCGCCAGGCTCAGGCTGCAATGGGGGAAAAGGTGACTTTGGGCTGTGTAGCCTGGAGCATGTCCCTTCACCTGTGGTGTGTCCCTACTCCCGCTCTCCCAGAAAACAGCTCTGATTTATAGTGTTTGTCAATTTCTCCAGTTACCAACATGGTGTCACTAAACCCGGAGGCGGGAAGAGATGTGGGGAAAGGATAGCATGACCTCATGAGCACACCCTTCGCTCATCGCTTATCTCTTCTGACATGGGGCAGTGCTCGGTGAGCCTGAGGTTATCGCTGGGCTCTGAATGTCTGCCCTTCCTTCCTGGGGGGAGGGAGCCAGGCTGCTCAGACCAGGGAAAGTCCCCGGCCTCTCTCCCTCTGCCCGGGACCTGCCTCTCAGGCTTCTGGGACACGCAGGAGACGCCAACTTCCGAAGGCTGACCCTGGTCACATGCGGACTTTGCTCATGACACCAAGGGCCCATGGCATGGATCAGAACGCAGTTTTCTGGGGCATAGGTATGCCCTGCACCCCAAAGCTGGGTGCAGAGAGGGCCTTATTGGGGAGGGGGTTCAGCTGTCCACCCAGAACCCCCCATCAACTGGGCTTTGGCATCCTCCTGACCAGGAGCAGGACCCCCATGAAATTATAAAACCTCTGTGCTTGTGGAAACGGCAGGGGAAGACCCTTGCTCAGTCCTTGACCAGAGAGGAGACTTTTGGGAGATGAAAGGTGGCAGGCATGTCAGAACTGTGACCCACGAGCTCTGGACAACGGGGGCCCCAGGTCTGGTCTAATAGAGTGAGTTTGTTTCTTTGCCTCTTTTTTTTTTTTAATTCTCACCCAAGGATTTTCATGGATTTTCAGAGAGAGTAGAAGAAGGGAGGGAGGGAGTGTGTGTGTGTGTGTGTGTGTGTGTGTGTGTGTGTGAGAGAGAGAGAGAGAGAGAGAGAGAGAGATGAAGAATCATAGTGTGTGTGTGTGTGTGGGTGTGTGTGGGTGTGTGAGAGAGAGAGAGAGAGAGAGAGAGAGAGAGATGTGAGAGAGACACATTGATTGGTTGCCTCCTGCACATGCCCCAATGGGGGCTGGGGATTGAACCTGCAACCCAGGTATGTGCCCTTGACCGGAAATGGAACCCGTGACCCTCTGGTCTGAGGGCGGATGCTCTAACCACTGAGCACGCCAGCCAGGGCTCTTCACCTCTTGATTGCAAATTTGCCCCAGGTTCTTAGTTCTAGCCTTGGACCTCTCCTCTGTTGGCTTCCTCAGGGTTCTCTCATCTGGTGGCTTTAAATATCTCTGTGCTGGCAACTCCCAAATACCTCTCTCCAGCCCAGACCTCTCTCCTGAACTGTCTTGTACATCCATCCTGCCCAACCCCTCAGCCTCACCTCACCTCACCTTTCCCCCTACACCCGCTCCTGCCTCAGTCTTCCCATCTGTTCATGGCAATACCCTCTCTCCAGTTGCTCATCCTTGACTTTTCCTCACATCCAAGATCCATCCAATCAGTCAGCACTTCCTGTTGGCTTCACCTTTGAAATAAATCAGAGCCGACCACTGAGACAGTGCCACCGCTCTGGTCCTGGCTACACCATCCCTTCTGAGCACAGGAACTACAGTGTCCTGTCAAAGTCTAAGTCAGCCCTAGCCGGCTTGGCTCAGTGGATAGAACGTCAGCCTACGGACTGAAGGGTCCCAGGTTCGATTCTGGTCGAGGACACATGCCCGGTTGCAGGCTGGATCCCCAGTAGGGGGCTTGCAGGAGACAGCCAATTGATGATTCTCACTCATCATTGATGTTTCTATCTCTCTCTCCCTCTCTCTTCTTCTCTGAAATCAATGAAAATATTTTTTAAAAATCTAAGTCAAACCGTGTCCCTCCTCAGCTCAAAGTCCTCCCATGGCCCCCACATCACTCAGATCAAGTTTTAATAATAGCCCGCAGGGCCCAACAACATCTGGACCCACCAGCTCTCTGACCTCATCTCTTCCTACCTGCCCCCCTGACGGACTTCATGTCAGCCACATGGCCTTTTTGCTTGCTGCCAGGCATGTTCCCATCTCAGGGCCTTTGCAATCGCTGTTCCCTCTGCCTGGGATGCTCTTCCCTAGGCGTCCACATGACCCACTCCTCCCTTCCTTCAGGTCTTTGCTCAAATGCCACCTCTTGGACAGGTCTTCCTGGAACACCCCACCTGACCCTGCAGCCTTCCCCCTGCGCTCCCCAACTCCTGGCTTTACATCACCCCCAGCACTAAGTCATCTGCTTCATCAGTTATGCTCCTGGCCTGCGGCCTCCACCTGGAAAACATGTCCTACAAGGGCAGGGCTTTGCATCTGTTTCGTCCTTTCTGTATCCTCAGCACCTGCAATATGACTGGCATATGGTACGTGCTCAGTAACTATCAAATGATCAATTAAAAATCTGGATGTTTTACAAAGATTTAAATTTCCAATTTTTTTTCAAATTTTCTTTTAAAAATGGGAAGGCCTGATACCCAGGCTGTAGAAATGGGAAAACATGATGAAAATAAAACAGACAAAAAAAGGAAGACATGGCTACAATTGGCAGAAGCTGAACAGTGGCTGCCACAGCCCCGCTCCCCCACTCCCCATTGTCTTGCCTAGACCTCTTTTCTCATATATGTCCCCTGCATAAGCCTAGAAGACCTTAGGGCAGGGGTTCTCAAACTACGGCTCGCGGGCCACATGCAAATACAAATATTGTATTTGTTCCCATTTTGTTTTTTTTACTTCAAAATAAGATATGTGCAGTGTGCATAGGAATTTGTTCATAGTTGTTTTTTTTTTAACTATAGTCCGGCTCTCCAATGGTCTGAGGGACAGTGAACTGGCCCCGTTTAAAAAGTTTGAGGACCCCTGCCTTAGGGTTTGGGATTCCTCGTCTACAGAAATGAGTGAAAACCACCTTGAGAAAACTCTCTCTGGCCATAAACTCTGTTCTTCAGCGGAGGAGACCAGCCACGGTTGCTGTGAAGGCCATGGCTGGGTGACAGTGAGACGTGCAGAGAAATCCCAGGGCTGAGTGTGTGCATTTGGGGGTGTGGGGGAGGATGTGTCCTTCCTCTACCTGAGCCTACTCTCTGGGTTTGACACAGGCGCATTTTCTGTTTGATTCTCAAAGAGTCTGTGACCCTCCAAGGCTACTAGCCTCTGTCCCCAGATTTCTGCGTTCTCACCGTATCCACGTGAGATCATTTTCATCATCTCATGGATGGGGAGACTGAGGCCCAGAGAGGGCAAGATCACACAGTGGTGGGGCTCATTTTGCTCCTGAGTGGGGGGTCACCAGGCCCTCAGGTTGTGCTGCCCCCACCGCCCAGCTCAGGCCCCACTCACCCAGGGGGTCTCCATCCACGATGCTATACTCCACCTGCCCGTTGGGGCCCGAGTCCCGGTCATGGGCCAGGAAGGTCCACACTCTAGGCCCCGGCTGGCCCTCGGTGACATCGAACGGCCCCTCATAGTCCCGGGGGAAGGTGGGCACGTTGTCGTTGATGTCATTCACGTTCACAAGCACCTGCGATGGGGGACACGTTTAGCCGGGCCGCACCTCAGCCCGCCCTGTGCTGGGTCCGGATTCCTCATCTGGAAACTGGACCCAATAATCCTACCTCAGGGGGCTGATGCGAGCCTCCGACGAGATGTGGACGTGGGAGCCTTTGTAAGCTGTGCATGGTTGAGTCGTTTCATTGTAGAAGCCTTTTTTGGGCATACTCATATTTTGACAATGATGCTCTGAACTTCTACTTATTGCTACACTACGGCCATTTTACATGGTCTCATTTGCTCCCACACACTGCAATCGCGTTTATTTCCCGATCTCACAGAGAAGGAAAGTGAGCTCAGGTTGGTTAAGTCACTTGCCCAGAGCCACACAGCTAGGAAATGCAAGACCAGGGATATGAATCCTGCTGGTCTGACCAGAGCTGTGCTCTCCCCATGAAGGGGAGGAAGGCAGGTATCAGCATGTATCTGATAGATGCAACTACTCAGAGAGGTTCATTAACTTCCTCAAAGACACACAGCAAGTTCGGGTGAGCTGCCGAGACCAGGACAGGGCTCTTGGATTTAGGTGTTTTTTGATAATC